AGTGAAATTTTAAAAAATGTTTTCTATTATAACCAATTTGGCTAGGATAGGTGGAAAGAACAGAAATATACTAAAATAATTTTGAAATACATAATGTATATTTATGGGACATTGACATCAAGTTAAAAAATATAGAATCCACCATAACAGGGTAATCAACATTTTTAGAAAGTCAAATCAAGCTGAAGTCTCAGAGACTATTATGCTTATTTGCTAACTGTACTATCAGAATGCTTCTCTGATACAATGAATACAGTAATTTTTCCAATTCACATACACTGCCAGACAAGCGACTCAATGCAATTCACTCACTCTCTGAGAAGTTTATCCACTCTGTCAATGTTCATCTTTCCTGGCAAATCATCCTTTAGTATTCTAAGCAAACTAGAGCAAGGTGAAGTTGAAGAATGCCTCAGCAAAATGAAGTTGAAGAATGCCCAGCCATGCCTCCAACCAATTCTACTTTCTGTCCCATTCAGAGAGCTTCCGGGTCTTCAAAAAAGAGGGAGGCATTAGGATGTGAAAGTGCTGAGGTATGAGATTTGGATCTTTTCCTAAGTCCAGAAGGCAAAACAGGGGTTTTGAAGCGCCGGGTGATATGACTTAATTTCTGCTTTTAAATACTCACTCTGACTGTTGTGAGGGAAGTGATATGGGATGTGCCGGGGGAAGAATGTCACCAAGACCAGCTGGAGGCTATTAAAGTCCTCCAGGAGACAGCATCATGGGCTGAACAATCACCTTCCAGTAAACAACATACAAGTGGTCATATTTGGGACATATTTTGAAGATAGAGGCAATTAGATCTAGTAATGGGTAGTGCCTGAGGGATGTGAGAATTTTTGAACGACTACTAGGTAAACGCCTGTCAGTGACCGAGAAAATGTTGGGATGTGTTATGAGAGAGTAATCCTAAAATTTCCTTTGTTGAAGCCTGACCCTTCAGGACCTCAGAATACGAACATCCATATAGAAGGCAAGTAGAGTGCTGAGGGCTGCCACTCACCTCTAGGTGCCCCAACCCTCGCAGCAGTCCTGCTTCTCCCTTCCACCCACCCTCACTCACAAACAGTGTCCCTTTCAGCTCTTTCATCATCTCTGTATTTGATCTCTACGGTGAGTTCACAGCTGATAGGTAAGGATTCCTTATACACTAGTCTCTTTTGCTGATTGCTGACATTGGAGGAGGTCAGGGAACGGGCCTGAGCTGAGTGACCTTTAGGGGCATTACCTGTTCTTTTCCTGTACTCTCCTACCAAGGAGAAACCTTTCTTGCACCAGGCCTGCAGCTTCCTTAGTTGCCCACATTATCAGGCAATACCTGCCTGGCACTCCTCTTTGTTCCTTTATTCTGACCTTCCTTTTTGATATGATGGTTGACCTGAAGTCACCTAGGCAGGACTGCTCATCTCCAGGCCCTGTGGAAAACAGTATCTGGTGAAACTAGAGACAATAATCCCAGTAACATAGTGGGAGCTGCTGGAATCAAACAGCCACTCTGTCCCTAAGATACAACTCAGAAAGGCTCGCTAGAACGGACCCACTTCCTACAGTGCCAGAGAAGAACTGCCAATTAAGAATGTAATCCCTCTTCAAATATGTCTATTTCATTCAAGGGAAAATACCAATCTGCCTGGGTCTCTTAGAAGAACAATGTTGTCTGTAGCAAAATCTAATCTATTAGGAAGCCTTCCTGTATTATTATCTGCAACTCTTCAGAAAGGCCAGACCAGACCCTCCTATGCACAGCAGAGGATCCACTCAGGCACACCTGTCTAGGGGCTTGTCTTTATGACTTCCTGTCATGGCCTCCGTAGTCAGGCCTCCAACAAAGCTATCCTCAAATTAAGACTAGCCATGCACAAAAAGTGAAAAATTACACAAGGTCTGAAATGGTAAGTGACAGCTGGTGATACTGACTAGTATATTTTATGAACTGATGAACAGGAAATTTCTGGGTATCATGGAGCAATCGGCGGCTGAGAAGAGAACTACCAATCCAGGATCTTGAAAGGGCTTTGTGCAAATGTAATAGTTTACTGTACAATTGTACACACAAAAATGAAAATAAAGGTAGTAAGGAGTACCATACACCATTACTTAGAAGATTAAATAAAGCATATTTCCCAAAGTCATGTGGGGAGAAAATAAAAATATAGGAAGAAAATTACACATGGCAAGGTAGACTCAGAACATAAAAAGTAACAAATAAGAGCCAGAAAGAAAATGAGGAGGAATTAATATTAGAATATCATAGAAAAAATTCTCTTTGTGAAATAACACTCTGATGAAACGAGCGAAATAAATACTGAGTGAAAAACAGAAGCCCAGTCAATGCATTTGAGGCTTAGATAAGCATATCAAATAATCTTAGTTGAATTGTGGCCACTTAATTATCAGTGGTGGCGAATGCAATATTTCTTAGGGGAAATAAAGCAGAGGTTGAATTCTATAGACTATTCTGGAGAAAGTGGAGGTCTTAGCGATATGACAACGTGTGGCTTGCTTAGGAAACCATGTATTCAGTTTGTTCAGGCCTAGAAATTCCTTGGTGGTTTCTGTGTTCAGTTTTGCCTTAATAAGCCCTACAGGTATTTTAAAAATGGAAATTGTTTAGCTTTCCTGTGTTGTACAGCACCAAGGCTTGCCTGAGCAGAGTGAGACCACAGACGTTTGGACAATTCCTGTAGCCTATGCAGGCTACAGAGCAGCTTTCTGTCATCTATTAGTGCCGGGAGGTGTGCTGTGTCCACACATCTCACAGATAACGTAGAGACCATGTCTATTGCATGAAAAATCAAGCTAAATGTGAAAGTATCCATACACACGCATCATGAGAGATGGAAATAGCCTATAAAATGAGTGAGAGATGGTGATCATCTTCACTGTTAGCTGTAGGATCGCTGTCCTCACCCCCAACACACACACACAAAAACACATATGTAGAAATGAAAAGCACAGTGGGAGGCAGAATAGCAGTCTACCAAACAGACTGGAAGCCAAATGATGTCTCAAGTTCAATTCTGACACTGTGCTGATTGCTTGGACACAGTTCCTTCAGAATCTTTGTCCAAGTCATAAGTTGTTCCTTTAAAAAAAGAGACACCAACAACATCCTACCAGCCCTTCCTGCTGGGCTAGAATCCCAAAAGAAATGAGGGATACACTTGACCTGCAGTAAGCAAAGCAGAACCCAGTCTCGGAGGTGATGAGATATACCCAGGAGGGAGCTCAAACGTGCCATTGTTCTGCTTGTCTTTATAAAGGGAGCTGCCATGTTTTCTCCCAGCACAAAGCTGGGAGCAACACCAGAGCCTCCTGCAAGATGCTTGTGATTCTGCTGTCAGTGGCCCTGCTGGCCGTGAGCTCAGCTCAGAGCGTAAGTGAAGGTAAGACAAATTGGGGCAAGATCTTGTGACTCTGACTGGGGTTTAGAAGCTCACGCTATAGAGGGGGATAGTGAAGGGAAGAGAGGAGGCTGAGAAAACAGATGGCACTGCGGAGTTCTCATGCCAAGGATCAGAAGACCTGTTGTGCCCTCATTCCTCAGCAAGACCTCATAATTTGTTTATTTCACAAATAGAACCCAATAAATAATTTGTGCCAGGGGAGAGAGAGAGAGTGAGATTTGCATTTATAGAGACATGGGACTGCCGTGAAAGATGCAATGGAGAATGCAAGACAGATTCAGGGAAGTCCAGCTGTGAAGATCCTGTACTGTTCTCAGTATACAGGGATGATGCTGGCCTTGCTGTACAGTGAATCAGCATCAATGAAGAATATAAACAAATATGAGACCTACTGCAGAGACAGAGAAATGGGTAAAACATTGTCTCTGTCTACAGAGAGAGAGAATAATCAGAGTGAAGCTGTCATTTTTCTCTCCCCTACGTGTAGTATTTCAATGTGCTGGGAATGGCATGTGTAGGACTGTATGTATCCAAATGGTTTTTCCTGGTGGCCCTTATTGAGAAAGCTCGCAAACATCAGCAACATGTTTACAGAAGAGGGCAGAAGAATCCCCAAGTATGACATTGAAATACTCAGGGCAGTTGAACTAAATAAGCACTAAGGCTTGAGGAATCACAGGGAGACAAAACAGGGGCCCTTGTATGTTGAGTTCCTGGTTGATGCTCAGAATAGTAACAACCCTGCTTCTCCTCACATCTTCCTCCACTTCCAGTAGCATCACAGACAGTGGCTGATGAGGTCTCTTAGGGGACGCACAGGGTGTGATCAGAAGTCCCTTTTCCTCATAGAACACTATGAGCCCTGAAAGATTCATGAAGTAACTTTTCCCATCATCCTGTACTTCTTTTCTAGATGTCAGCCAGGAAGACGTTCCCCCCGTGATATCAGGTAAATCCCAATACATTCTCAGTAAACTTGTCTCCTTTTTTTTTTTTCCTGAAAAATTGATCAATAGTTTGGACGAGGACACTAAGGGAGTGAGATTTGCATTTGTAGAGACATGGGACTGCTGCAAAGGATGCAGTTCTCCAGTGTCTTCTTATCATGATTTTCTTCTCAGGAATTGACTAATGTTAGTGCCCCCAGAGATAGAAGCAGTTTTCTCCCAACCTTGATTCTGGGGACCATGAGCAAAGCCATTTGATTTTTCATCACCCTCATGTGAAGTAAGAGGAGTTCTAATGAGGAAGCCCTGGAAAGGTGGGAGGCTGACAGTTGAAGGCAGGTCAGGGAGACACGGGTCGTGTGGTGAACACAGAGAGGTATGAAGACAGGAGGGTCTTCCAGCACTGAGCTCAGCTCTTCTGGTTTCAGCTCAAGCAGATGAAGGGGACTCTAACCAGAGCCCAGATGAGGAGAGTCAGGAACCACCTCTTGGAGGACACCCACCTAGGCCCCCTGCTGGTGATGGAAACCAGGATGAGGGTCCTCAGCAGGGACCACCCCCACAAGGAGGCCACCACCACCACGGTCCACCACCTCCTCCAGGACAGCCACA